GAATAGAGGGGGGTGATGACTAGGGGGGGGTGGATATCATGGCGTGGGCCATGATACTTCCTCAGATTTTATGGCGCTTCTTCTTATTTCATTACGTCCCTGGCCCCCCCGCTGGGCCGCGCACGTGCCGCCGGTCATGATTTGCACCCCCCCCTCTTGGGCACCCCCCTTTTGGCCGCCCCCGATAGGCGTCCAGCAACTGCGATGCTGGCGGCCCAAAGTTTGTTCGCATGCCGCCCAAGCGCGTCGACGATCTGAACATCGCTGGACAGAAGGAGCACGTCGACAAGCTCATCGGGCACGTACAGAGCGTCTTCGGTGGCAAGATGAAGGACGACTACGACGACTTCACCAACTGCGGTGTCTACCAACACCGCAGCGCCGACGGCGCCGTGGCGCTCGACCAGGACGAGTACATCCACGTCCTGTGCCGATCAGGCACGTCGAGCTGGTCAAGACGAAGGCCGACGAGCCCGCGGAAGGTCGGATTTCTGACCTCTTCGTCTCTTTGCGGGGGGTGATTGCTTACGCCCTGCTCGCCCAGCGTCGCGTCGCAGCGTGCATTGTGGCGCTAAAGCGGGTCACGAACGAGGCCTACTTCGCGCTATGCAGCTCAGGTCTGTGAAAATCAAGGGGCGCATCACCGTTTCCTGCTGTGGAATGCGCTGGCCAGATGTGCGCGCGCAGCGACGGGCCTTTCAAACGGGAGGAGGAGACGGGGCGCGGCAGGAGAGGCGCCGACTACACGCGCCTCGGCAAGTGTCGCAGCGCCGGCAAGGATGTCTACCACCTGCTCGATGCCGCGGGCCGCTCGCACGAACTTGCTCGTAGGTTTTCGTTCGTCTCCGAGCTGCTCGCAGCGCGCGGCGCAGTTGATAGGCGGCAGGCTAGCGGCTAGCTTCATCGCGCTCCGCGAGATGATCCAGGGCCCAGTCTCAGCCCGGGAGACCAGGAAGCTGCGAGGGCAGGGGGGCGTTGCCATAGCGGCAATCCTGGTTGTGGACGGGATGTCCATTTTCACGGCCGTCGCCGTCCTGCGCGTCCAGTCTCGAGGCTTGTCGTGGCAGGCCACCTGCGGTGGCTCTCCGATCAGCTCCGCACGAAGCGGATCACTGACATGATTTGGTGCGATGCTCGCGATATGAGGGCCGACTCCGTAACGAAGGGGAGCATCGGCCAGGAACTGATCTTGGACTTGATGTGCAGGGGGCTCAAGTACGACCATGCCACTGTCAGACTGAGCGACCAGAGGCACGAGAAGATCGTGCCCAGCTCCCGCCACGGCGACGTCAGGTCAGATGAGGAGAACGTTTCCCCGACGGGAAAAGCAGCTGGAAGTGTCGTTGCATTTGCTTCAGCTGCAGGACGTGACGTCGGCGGTCGCGCGTCGCGACCTGCGTTCGCGACTGCGACACAGGGTGAGGCAAATATAGCTGCATTTAGAAACCGCGTTTGCGAATGCGACGCAACGGGACAAATCAGAAACCGCCCGCGCAAGGCGAATTACGTTCGCAAGTGTGAGTTAGTGAGTCACGCAATGGAGTGGCTGATTTTGGGCGTGGAGCACGTTGAACGCCTTTCCGTGCACCTACAGTCGCCTGCTCCCCATGGGCCACCTTGCAGTTTTTATGAGGGACCTGGTTGGTAGAAGGTCCTCGTTTAACCTTGCCTCCCGTTGCGCGCGCCGTCGCGGGATGTCAGCCTGCTTCGGCTTGCTCCAGGGGCTCTGCCGGGAGTATTTGTCGCCCCTCCTCGCGCGCCGTAGAAACTTTTGCGGTGGGCACCTTGGGGGCCAAGGTTTCACGCGGCGACGCGACGCCCGGCACCCCCCAGAGCGCGCCGAAACAGGGGTGCCCACATATATATATATATATATATATATATATATATATATATATATAGTTTCGCCCATTCCGCCGGCTAGTATTGTGCCATCGCAGGCGTTTGCGTGCGCATTCGAGGCCTGTTGGGGGCCGTTTGGGGTCCTCTTGGGGCTTCTTTTCGAGCTTCTTGGGGGCCTCGTGGGGCCTCCAGGGGGCCCCCTGGACTCTTGGGGGCCTCTAGGGGGCTCCTGGGGCGGGAGGCTCGAATTGGTGGTTCGCGTTCCCCATATTGGGCCCCTCTCGGGGCCGTCTTGGGGCCCTCTGGAACCAGTTTGGGCGCTGTTGGAGGCTGTTGGGCCGTGCCAGGGCGATCCTGGAAGCCTCTTGGGACGTCTTGGAGCGCCGGTGAGCTCCCAAGGCGAAACCGCCCCAACCACCTTAAACAAAAGCGATAGGGGAATCGCGAACTTCTGCCTCTGTGGGCCTTCTTGGGAGGTCTCTTGGGGCCTCTCGGGGTTTCTCGGAGCCTTTCAGGGGCCTCTTGGTGGCTTCTTGGAGGCCTCTTCGGGCTTCCAGGGGGCTTTGCGCTTAGAGCTCGACATGTCCATTCGGGTCCCTCGTTTGGGCCCGCCTTCGTCGGCCATTTGGGAATCATCTGGGGCTGTTCGGGGCCCTCTGGGAGCGTTTGTGGCGCTTTGGATTTTCAGAAACTTAGGACAATCGTTCGTTTCTGCCTCTGTGGGCCCTCTTGGGAGGTCTCTTGGCGGCCTCTTGGGGCGTCTTGAGGGCTCATTGGGCTGTCCGGAGGCCACCACTGGCGTCTTGGATCGCTCTTGGGCCGTCTCGGGCCATGTTGAGCTAGCTCACTTGGAGGCCACCTGAGGCGTTCCTGGAACGCTGGCCGGGACCTGCCCGGGACCTTGCCGGGACCTTGCCAGGACCTTGCCAGGACATGCCGGGACTTTGCAGGGACCTTCCTTGCCGGGGTACATTTCGTGCGGGGACGCCCAGTGGCGGCCCCGCGCGCGCGAATTAGAATATTGTTAACCAGTCGCCGGATATCTGAGCACGCCCTTGGCCCGTTGGGCCGGCGAAAAAGGCCTCGTCGGTTGCGGCACGGCTTGCGTATTGTAGCCAACGGTGCACAGGCAGACTCGCTTGAGCACCAGACTCGGTACCGCACCCGTGTTAGACGCGCGCTCGTCTCCACCGTGTTCAGGTAAAAAACACGTTTTGCCAATGCATCCGTTCTCGTAGTCTCCTCCTCCTCCTCCTCCTCTTCTCCTCCTCTTCCTCCTCTTCTCCTCCTCTTCCTCCTCTTCCTCCTTTTTTCCTTTTCTTTTTTTTCCATCCGCTTCCCCCTCCTGCTCCCGCTCTCCCTTCTCCCACCCCCTCCCCCCCAAGAGCCTCGGACGCCTCGCCGGGGGATTCGGGGTTGGAGGCGGCTGGGGTACCCGAGTTGGTCCGGGCCCTAAAACGGTCAGGAAGTTGGGCGATGAGGCCAAATTCGTGCCCCGGATCCGTTTTCGCGGCCCTTGAGCTCGAAAACGGCCCCGCGAAGCCAGAACATGCTGCAAACCGTCCCAGGCCCAGAAAACTTCGAGCCTGCCCGCCCTTCGCGCTGGTCGGAGCCAGTGCCGGGCCACCTTGCGGGCCCGGGGTTGCTGCACGCGCCCCCGGCCCAGAGTGCCCCCCAGGGTCTCGGGGGAGGCGCCCACGGCCTCCAGGGCACCCCCTCACAAGGCCCCCTGGCATCGCTCGGACGTGCGCATTTTTTCTCGGCGAGGACCATCGAGGAGCATCCTTGATCATTTAAAGCGAAGAATGCTCACACGAAATCGAGAAATGCATGGGGAATGGACGTCCGAGCGATGGCGAGAGGCCCAGGGGGCCCCAGGGGCCCCAGAATGGAGCGAAAAGCGGGGGGTGTTGGGCCAGGGGCGCCTTCTGCCACTCCCGATCCGACTCCAAGTCGGCTCCAGGGGTGTCCGCCGCGCGCAGAGGGGGGTAATGAGGGGGGGGGGAGCTTTTTTAGAAACACCTCTGCTTGTTAAGAGGCGCGAGCATTCCCTGTAGATGTAAGGCCGGCGCCTCTTGAGAGACAGCCTCCTGAGAAGCTTTCCCCCCTCCACTTACCCTCTTGTGCGCGCCGCCAGGGGTGGGTTGTGCTCCCAGACATGATCGCGTTGTAACAAAACTCAAGGCGGCAAGTTTTTCACAGTTTTCCGCCCCTGGAGGCCCTCGCAGGTCCGCGGGAGCGTCAAACATGTGTTCACAGGCTGAGAATCGCCGGCCCCGGGGAAAGGGCCTGGACTTTTCTGGGGGCGCCGTACTGAAAAAATCGGGACGTCGCGCCCAGACATCCGCCGATGTGATTTTTGTCAATCCGCGACCCCCTCCCCTGGGAGTGGCTTTTCATCCCGGATACTTCAGATTTCGCAATAAAAGGGAGGGTGTCTGGACCTTTCAAGACAAGCCATTTCAGACCTCCCCCGTGGGAGAACCCTCCAAAACATCGTCGTCCCCAGACCCCCCAGGCCCTCCAAGATAGCCTGGAAGAGACCCCCCCCCCCCCGAAATGAGACCCCCCTCCCTTTATTACGAAATCTGGAGTACGTTTTTGATGGTACCCCCGGGCCCGATGGCGGGCCCCAGAGGCCGAAGACCACGAAAAGCAGCCGGATTGAAAAAAACATATCCTCGGATCTCAAGCAGTGGCGAAGCGTCTTGGCTTGCCTATAGGCCCACCAAAGAATGTTCTGAGACCCTTTGGTTGTCTGCACGAACTGTTCTTAGAACATTTCTGGCTGAGGCTGTCTTGTTATTAGAACCTTCGCTGGGTTCTAAGAACAGTTCGTGGTAGGTCTGAGGATTGCCGGGACGGTCGGTCCCTGCTCAAGGATCTTTGGGCAACAAATCATATCATCGGATCTGGGCCCAGACATGCGACGTCCTGATTTTTTCAGTACGGCGTCCCCGGAAGTCCCGAGCCTTTCCCCAGGGCCGGTTTTTCATCCTGAGCAGTTTTTTGACGGTCCTGGGGCCCGGCGAGGGCCTCTAGAGGTCGAAAACGGCGCAAAATGTCCGTCTTGATTTTATGTACGACGCGAGCAGGTCTAGGGATTGAAGAAATCATATCCTCGGATCTCTGGGCATGTCTGGGGTGGGTTGTGCTGTCCTCCCCATCGGCGCCCCGCCACAGCCGGCCGGGAGCGGCGTAGTGCGGCCGCGGCCGCGGCCGCCGGGCGGGCGGCGCAGCAGCAGCAGCAGCAGCAGCAGCAGCAGCAGCAAGAGCAGCAACGCGCAGCGTGCCTCGCGCCAGCCGAGGCCCGGAGGGCCCGAGGAGGAGGAGAAAGAGGAGGAGGAGGAGGAGGAGGACCCAGATATGATCGCCTCGTAAGAAAATCAGGACGGCCAATTTGTCGCTTTTTTCGGCCCCGGGGGGGCCCTCGCCGAGCCCCGGGAGCATCAACAAACGACTCGGGACGAGAAGCTGGCCCCAGGGAAAGGTCGGGACTTCGGGGACGCCGTCCTGAAAAAATCAGGACGTCGCATGTCTGGGGATGAGGAGGAGGAGGAGGAGGAGGAGGAGGAGGAGGAGGAGGAGGAGGAGGAGCAGGAGGAGGAGGAGGAGCAGGAGGAGGAGGAGGAGGAGGAGGAGGAGGATGAGGAGGAGGAGGAGGAGGCGGAGGAGGAGGATTGTCTCGGATGTATCCTTAGTCAGCGGGTCGTGCACTCGCACCTCAGCCCCTAGTGGGGCGGGGTCTGGCCGATGCGGGTGTCCGCCGCGCAGACTAAAGCTGGGGGATGACGGATAGCCACGATACTGAGGTGCTTAGTGAGGAACACCCGTCGATGTTCCACCTCTTTATCGATTTCGCTGGCCGCCACCCCCTCCTCACCCCATGCCCCAAAGTGATCCTGTCGAATCGGGGCTCCTACGGGGTGGCATCCCATATTGGGGGAGCGAACTTGCCGCAGCAGTGGTCCGCAATTTGACTCCTGGCGCGCACTGCCCAGCGGTCCCCCTCTGGGGAGGAAGCGGATCCCAAGGTGGGCCCGATTGCTTCCCCGCCGCTGAATTCAGGGGCTCTTGCACTTAGTGCAGGGACCCTGGCAGGTCGGGCAGACGCTGGGAGCTGTAGCCCCAGCGTAGGTGTGGCAAAGCGGCAGGGGCCCCAGCCCATGCAGGCAGCCTGCGATGCTTGCGTGCTGAGTGCCACTTCGGGGGAGACCCCCTTGTGAAGATGGCTGCCTCTCTGCACATACTAGCACCTGTGCCGCGCGATAGCGGCACAAACGGGGCGTCGCTCCATCGGGGTGACTTCCCCCTGCGAGGTTGGATGCCGTGAGCATTCCAGTCGCATGTTGATGCCAGTGGCCCGCTTAACGGTCTGGACGGCCGTAGTTTTTAGCAAGACCGCGAAAGCGACATGAAACCGGCTTTCTGGGTTGCCATCCCCGCTTGGCGATGGCCCCAGGATGCCACAACAAAGTGTGGCTATCTTTCCTCTGCTTGGTCAGGGCAGCAGGACGAGTGGCAGCAGAAGCATGGTAGAGTTAGCGTCTTGCGAGCATTGTTTAGGACATCCAAGGCAGAGGGCTTCCGACATAGAGGCTTCACTCACAGAGGGAACGAGCTGCGGAGGAGGATGTTCGAGCGGTTATTCAGCGAAGCGGAAACTCCAACGTCGAGGGACCGAGCCGAGGCTTACTGACCGCACCAAGTGCCCACCCCAGAAAATGCCACATTTTGTTGTGTCATGCTGGGGTGCTCACCTCACTGCCGGGGTGCTCAAGGGATGGCTGAATGGCGTTAGACACGGCCTAGCAAGGCCTTGCCCCGGAGCCCGAAAACGGGCAGGAATATTGACATCCCCATTTTCGGTGTACCGGCCCATCCGTGGTTTTAGGCTCTGCTATGCCCGATCGTGCTTCACATACTCGCGCACTGACTCGAGAGCTGCAACAGCGGCAGGCGGATATAGCGATGTGCATGACGATGGCTGCGCGCGCGGCAGCTGGCAGGCTGATCCAGTCGAATCAGCGGGTCGGGGGCTACTGTGAACTTGCTATGCAGTGGTCCTTAGTCCCCGACCCTTTAGGCAATGTGCGCGAGGTGGCAGCATACTGAATGGGAAGCTGATCCGGGCGCATCAGCGGGCCAGGGGCTACCGCGAACTTGCTGTGCAGTGGTCCGTAGTCCCCGACCCGTAGGCTAAGCAGCGGCAAGCAGTGAGCATGGTACACAGACTGGCCACGTGCGTGGTGGTTGCTGCAGTGAGCTGCTCAACTACGTGTGACCTGGTCGCTCCTGTCGAAACGACCGGCTGTGTTACATGCGAACTTCGTGAGTCCGTAGCTCTTTGCCTCCATAACCCAAACTCGGATCCCGATCATCGGAAGAACAATCTGGATCCCCGGGCCCAGCCTCGAGCCATGGCAGGCTCCTTTCGTGCATTCGCTGGCCGAATTAAGCCTTTGACAACATAAGATTGACATCACCATTTTCGGTGTACCGGCCTATCCGTGGTTTTAGGCGCTGCTATGCCCGATCGTGCTTCACATACTCGCGCACTGACTCGAGAGCTGCAACAGCGGCAGGCGGGACCATGACAGCAGCAGCGGAGGGGGAGGGGGAGGGGGAGGGGGAGGGGGAGGGGGAAAATATTAATGGGGCCAGTGCATGCTTGCCGCTCGTCTCCCCCTGCCTTCGCAGGCGCTCGATCTGCTGCTGGCGGTGCGGCCGGGCGCTTGCCCGCCGGGCGAGGCCCGCGCGCCCGGGAGCCTCTGCGAGGAGGCCCGCGTGCGTGCTGCCGCTGCTGCCTGGCTTCCTCCTGCAGGGAGAGCTCCGCCGTCCGCCGTGGGGCTCACCCACACCAGGATTTGGAGGGAGTCGGGCCGTGGCGACGAGCCCCCCCCCACTATTTTATTTTCCCCTCCTCATCCTCCTCCTCCTGCTCCTCCTCCTCGTCCTCCTCCTCGTCCTCCTCCTCCTCCTCCTCCTGCTCCTCCTGCGCCTCTTCCTCCTCCTCCTCCTCCTCCTGCTCCTGGCTTCCTCCTTCTGCAGGGAGAGCTCCGTCGTCCGGCGTCCTCTTCTGCAGGGAGGGCTCCCATTGTGGGTCTGGTGCTCCCTCTCCGGCGCCTTGGCATCGTTGGCGAACGGTCCGAAGGCTTCCTGGGCGAGTGCCTTGAACTTCTCCCGGAGGAGCCGCTCAGACGTCGGACGATCCGATGTTGTTTTCAGCGCGCGGCCGCGATCCATCACGAAGGCGTTCACGCCTGGGCCTGCCGCCTCTCTTTCGTCGAAGGTTTTGCTGCCACGGTGTATACACACACACATATATATATATATATATATATATATATATATATATATATATATATATATATGCGAGGTTTGCCGCAAAATCGACAATGCTCGTTCGCAATTAGCACTTCCATCTGAGCGCGCTTCAGGACCCACTGCGCCGCTGCCTTCAAAGTGTTACACAATGTATAGGTATATGTATGTATGTATGCATGTATGTTTGTACGTGTATATGTATGTATGTATGTATGGATGTCTGTATGTCTGTATGTATGTATGCATGCATGTACATATGGATGGATGTATGTATGTATATACGTATGCATGTATGTATGTATGTATGGTTGCATGCATGCATGTTTGTATGTATGTATGCGTGTGTGTATGTATGCATGCATGCAGTTATGCATGCATGCATGTATGTATGTATGCATGTATGTCTGTATGTATGTATGTACGTATGCATGTATGTATGTATGTATGCATGCATGCATGCATGTATGTATTGTAGCAATACATAGTGTATAAACGGTTGCGTGCGATTCTGTGCGCTCCGAAGCCGTGTTGGTTCAACATCATCCAGTCATGGTAGCGGAGCCTGGCTCCCCAAACAAATCCGCTACCGATCCATATCCAGCGAGTCCTGCGCGCACGGCGCGCCTCGATAGCAACTACGAGGGTTTCGTGGAAGACGAGCTCGTGGTGGAGGATTGGACCGTGCTGTGGTGCAGTGGCGGGTGCTGGTCAACAGCTGCCGCAGGATCAGGAGGTTGCAGCGTATCTGGGGTCATCTCGGACAGTGGCTGCAGGAGGTGTGCGAGAAACAACTTCGAGAAAGGCTGCGCGACCACCTGTGAGGATGGCGGAGGAGCAGCTCAGGAACTTGGCTGAGCAAGTTCAAGGGATGACGATGGAGTTGACAAGGCAGCGGGGCGCAGTGGCGGCGCTGCAGGCACAACGACTGCAGGAACTCGAGACGATCAACCGGCTGCAGGGCACGATCATCGCGGACCGCGAGGCGAGAAAGACCAAGGTGCAGTTGGTGGACATCAAGGGCATTGGCAAGCCGGTGCCTTTCAAGTCGGACATGAAGGAGTGGTCAACATGGAGTTTCAAGTTGGGCAACTTCCTGGAGGGAGTGGCGACCGGCATCAAGGAGTCAATGGAGTACTGCCAGGGCCAAGAAGAGGCACTGGTGGAAGCCGATCGGGACGAGATTGAGAGGCTGCTCGACGACGGCGAGGACGCCAAGGGCGTTGGCAGACAGCTTTACGCGGTGTTGGCTCAGCTCTGCGAGGGGGAAGCCTTGGACCTGGTGCAGGCGACGAAGGACAACGACGGGTTCGAGGCATGGCGAGTGATCTCGCGGCGGTTCGACCCTCAAGGAGCTGGGCGAAAGAGGAACATCCTGGGGACGCTGGTCAACCCAGGAGCGGTCGACACGAAGGAGTTGAACAGCCACATGGCCAGGTTGGAGGAGAGACTGCGAGTCTACGAGAAGCGCGCTGGCCATGCGATGCAGGAGGACATGAAGACGTCGGTGCTGATAAACATGACGAAGGGAGTGCTGAAGGACCACCTAGTCTTGAACGCGAACAAGCTGATGACCTACATCAGCGTGCGAGAGGAGATACAGAGCTACCTGGAGTCGAAGAACGACGACGGCCCAATGCCGATGGACATCAGCGGCCTCAAGGGCGGCGGCAAGTCGGACAACAGGGACGTCGAGTGCAATAATGGCCACAAGAAGGGCCACATGAAGAGGGGCTGCTGGGCTTCAGGTGGCGGGGCTTGCCAGGGCAACCAGAGCTCGAAGGGCAAAGGCAAGGATGGCGGCAAGGGCGGCAAGAGCAAGGGCAAAGGCAAAGACAAGGACAAGAGCAAGAGCGACAAGATGCCGTCCGGGCCGTGGCCATAGCGAGACGACAAACCAAAGCAGGGATTCCAAGGGTATTGCTCACTGTGCTGGGGCTGGGGTCACAAGCGGGCAGACTGCGGATCGAACCAGAGCTCGGCACCAACGAGACGCGGAGCCAGCAGCTTGGATGAGAGTGCGAAGCAGCAGGAGCCGGACACCGAGAAGCCTGGTGGAATGGGAAGCCTGGAGCTCTGCACGCTGGAGTTGAACATGCTGGACGAGAATGGCGACTACTTCTACGCGGCGGTGGGCTCTGGAGCGGCTGCGAGCGTAGTTCCGAACAAGTGGTTCGTGGACGTGGAGACGCGGCCGACGGTGTCCAGCGAGTCGGGCACGAGCTACCAAGCGGCGAACGGTCAGCTGGTGCACGACGAGGGCGAGAAGATCATCGAGGTGATGGCGGAGGATGGCGAGGTCCGACGCCTGAGGTGCACGTCGACGGCGGTGCATCGGATGCTACTGGCGGTGTCGAAGCTGGTGGAGAAGGGGCGCGAGGTTTACTTCGGGCCGAAGCAGAGCTACGCGAGGCACACAGCGAGGGGCAAGGCGCTACCTGTGCACCTACGACGTGGAGTGTACTGCCTCAATCAAGAAGGTGGACTGTCGGGGGCGGTCGGCTCCAGACCTGAGCGCGATGTCGGGGAACGATCGGCATGCGCGCCCGCAGTATGACCCAACGGCGAGTTGGAGATCTACCCTCTTCCTGAGGACGGAGGGGCAGCAGCAGCAGCGCCGGCGGTGACGGCGGAACCTGAGGCGCCCGAGCTGGAGGAGGATGGCGACATGGGTGACCCGCCGGGGACGGTGGTGCCCAGGCCTTTCGAGCCCACGGCGGCCGAGCGGGAAGCGCGCGAGGCGGCAGGCCACGTGCAGTTCAGGGCACGGTGCGGCGACTGCGTCGGAGGACGGGGCCGCAATGCAGATCATCGTAGACTGGGCGCTGAGCGAGCTCATCTGGTCAACACGATCTCGATAGACTACGCGTTCTTTGGAGGAGACGACGCTCGAGCAGGACCGACTGTGGTATTGCGTGAGCATAAGGGTCGATGGACAGTATCGATCGCAGTGACGAGTAGAGGCACCAAGGACGCCTGGATCATCGAGCGGGTGGCGGAGGCCATCCGGTACACGGGGGCGAGGCACTTCGTCTTCAAGAGTGACCAGGAGACCTCGATCGTGGACCTGAAGAATAAGGTCATCGAGGCTCTGGGCGGGACCTACCAGGTCGTGAAGGAGGAGAGCCCGGTGGGCGAGCACCCGGCCGACGGCGCAGTCGAGCGGGCGGCGCAGTCCGTTGGGGGCGTCGCGCGGACGCTGAAGCTGGCGGTGGAGCGCCAGTGCGAGACGCAGATCGGCCACGACCACATGATCGTGCCGTGGCTCATAGACTACGCGGGGGCGGTGATCAGCCCGTTTGACGCGGGAGCTGACGGGCGGACGGCGCGCGAGCGGATGCGCGGCAAGAAGTGCCGGAGAGCGCTCCCACCGTTTGCCGAGACGGTGTTCTACCTGCCGGCGGACAGGAACCGAGGGCGCAAGATTGCGCTGGACGCCAAATGGGTGACGGGCATCTACCTGGGCGTGGAGCTGTCGAGCCAGGAGCTGTGCATCGGCGTGGAGCAGGGCGCGGTCAGGGCCAGGGCTGTCGAGCGGAAGGCCGGGGACGCGCGCTGCGACAAGGAGCTGCTGAAGAAGCTGCAGGGATCGCCTTGGCGGCAAGTGCCAGGGTCGGTCGGAGACGGGGAGGAGGCGCCAGCGGCCCGCTTCCCGATCGCGAGAGCGTCCGATGAGGCGCCTCTGCCAGTGGAGCCGCGGGTTGCGCGGCCGGGCGCCGGGGCAGGCGGAGTGCCTGGACCTCGGCGCGTCTACGTCCGCAACGAGGTGGGGATCAAGAAGTTCGGGAGGGCCCCGGGCTGTCCAGGCTGCGACCACTTCGCGGCTGGACTGACGGCGCGTAGCCACAACGAGACGTGCCGGGCGAGAATCACGAAGCTCATGGAAGAGGACTTCGAGATGGACAAGCGCGTGAAGGTCGCGGAGGAGCGGCTCGCGCTGAAGAGGCCGGCCGAGCGTCAGTCGGTCGAGCAGGACGTGCCGGGGGGCGACCAGGGTCAACCTGCGTCGGCAAGCGCGGCGCCGTCGGGTGCAGCGGCGGCGGCAAGTGCAGCATCATCGAGTGCGGCAGCACCGAGTTCAGCAGCAGCGAGCGCGTCGGCACCACCAAGTGCGGCTCCGAGAAGGGACAGGGTCCGAGAAGCGCTCGACGTGCCGATGGTGGCGGCACCAGTGGCGCAGGACTCCAGGCCGATGGATACCGGCTCGAGGACAGGAGCGAAGCGACCCGCGGCGGAGGCGCCTGCGGGCGGGAACACCATGGACGTGGACATGCTGGAGGATCTCGGGCCTGGCGCAGGACCTGGGTTTCTTCGGCGCGCACGTGTCAGAGCTGTATGGACCGGGCAAGTTCACGAGCAGGGCGGAGTCGTTCGGCCTCAACCCAGGGCACGCGTTCGACCTGCGCCTGACCGACGAGAATGGCAAGCCGTGGGATCTGGCCGATCCAGCGCGGCAG